CCAGTCGGGAAAACTTTTGGAGTTATATACGGATGCTAGTAGTTATGGTTTCGGTGCAGTGTTGCTTCAGTGCTCAGGTGATGGACAGCTGCATCCAGTCCATTAGATGAGTAAAAAAACATCATGCCAACAAGAAAAAATGTCAGGTTATGAACTTGAAGTGCTAGCGATTGTTGAAGTTCTAAAGAAATTTCGAAGTTATTTCTTAGGGACAAAAATCAAAATAGTCGCCGACTGCTACTGTATTTCAGAAAACAATGCAGAAGAAAAGACCCGATGAAATAGACAGCCAGATGGGCACTACTACTCGAAGAGTTGGAATATGAAGTTATCCACATACCATGTTACAACAAGACGCTTACTGATCGCGCGTAGTTGATCAGACCTGCTCTGATCTAAAGCGACTACACGTAGGTCGTCAGCTATTATGAGTATGTGTATGGCAAGATACTTACACTGGAACAAACTTTGTGATACCTCTTCTAAAAAACATACTCGATCCATCTGTACAAACTCATCCCATTTATCTTTTCTTCTGTGAATCAGGAAATAAAACTTGATACTTGGAACCAATGGGGTGATTTCTGTTTTATGATAATACATCATCCCCACATTTATGCATAATTTGACGAAAAGTTTGTTATCCCTGATGGGCAGTCTTTGGACAGTGGATGCTTAGAATGAGGAATAACGATCCACGATTTCCTGCATTAATATTATTTAGTGATGAGACAACAATTAGCAGAGAAGGCATTTTCAAAGTGCACAATGAACATGTTTGGTCTGACAGCAATCTCCACTGCACTACCTCTCATAAACACCAGCAGAAAGTTTCAGTGAACGTCTGGGCACGTATCCTAAGTGATTACCTGGTAGGCCCTTACATGATGCCAAACCGTTTGACCAGCGCAACATATCTTATCTTTCTGAAACAACTGCTGCCCAGTTTATTGCAGACTGTGGCTCTCCCAATCCAGATAGACATGTGGTTTATGCACGATGGAGCCCCAGCACATTTTTCCATCACGGTCTGTAACTTTTTTAATGCCATATATCCTGCATGATGGATTGGACGTGGTGGACCTGTGGCTTGCCCTCTTCACTCGCCGCACCTCAAGGCACTTCATTTTCTACTTGATACTTGGATACTACTTGATACTTGGTACACTAAAGATTTCCTGTTTTTCTTCAAAGAAAAACAGGAAATCTTTAGTGTACGAGATGCCTGTGTACTCAGCTTAAGATCTCGTCGCGAGAATCATTGTTGCTGCAGACAAAATTAACACGACACCAGGAATCTTCAAGAGGGGCACCAGTCATTCTGATGCCAACTGTACAACATGCTTGATCGGCATTTTGAGTACTTTCTGCGAGCTTTTCACTAAACAATAAATCTGTGCAGCTTTTGGTCTTGTTCATTCGCTTTCCCAACACAGTTATAAGTTCGGGTTGGAATTCTAATATTCCTCTTCTTTGCCTCTCAGAGTGGATTAGGATTAGGATTATTCAATTATGGCAAAGCACATGCCCAAAGGGAGGGATGCCTTCGTGGAGGACTTTCTAAGGGAAACTAGCTCGTATACACGTTACACATGGGGAAAACCATGAAAATGCCCGTGCAGCCAGCCCGTTCACGGGATTCGAACCTCGGACCGAACTACCAGTGTTCAGCATCTTTACCGCTCAGCTGCTGGTGGGCCCCTCTCAGAGTGGAATGTGACCCTGTGTTCTATGGTAATTATTACTCGTCTGGATGGGTACTATCACCCCTCTTAATTTGTAAAAACAATTTAGAATCGCCCTTTATGTATGAAATATGGCACACTACAAATACTCAATGTCCAAAAGAAAGTAGTTAATTTATGTCATTTCTTTTTACAGTGTTTATTAGTAAATTTAAACTAATCAATGTCCAAACATAATTATTATTATTTTTTTTCCCCCATTTCTTGTTAGCTTAGAAACTTAACTTTTTTCAAAGACATGTAAAATGAAAGAAAAAAATATATACTGTACTGATTCTATCAAACAATTTTGTGAAGAAAATCTTTAAAAGTTAGATTTCCTTATGGATGCTTTATGAATGTTGTCCATCTTAGCTGCTGTGTTGCAGCTCTCGAACGTTGCTGAATTCTAACATTCACCTCTTACATGAAATCTGGCTACCCCTGCATTATAGTTTAAAATTTAATCTGATGATATTATTAAAATGAAATTAATTTGTTTCAGAAAAAAAAAAATGGTTCATGTGTTCAAAGCTAACCAACGCATAAAAATGTGTTCAAAACTAATATCAAATGATGATGAATATAAAATTTAATTTTGAATGTGTTATTGTAAACAGTACAAAAGTAATACACTATAAAAGCTAAATTAGTTGATTTTGATCACTTAAAGTTATTTTTGCGTAATGAAAAAGTATAAAGTAAATGTTAAGTCAATTGCTAATTAATATGAGTAGATGGGTGTTAGAAAATAGTTAGAGTTGTGAAAAAATAAACTGAATAAACTTAGTGGTATTACAGCATTAAGGTATTGCTCTAATATCCAGTACTGTTTTTTTCAGTTTAATTGAACAATAGTAAGATAATTTACATACTTCTTATTTATTCTCCAGCCTATTCTTTGGATTGTACTTTGATTTTTCATCAGTATAAGTTTTCTAAGTATGAGTCATATCCCATGGACATTTTTTATATATTTTGGAGAGTTTGGGCATTAGAAGTGACGAAACAGTTACTTCAGGTTTCGAAAAAAGGGAAAATATATTTTTGTGTAGGAAATATATTTATTAAAGGAAAGTTATATTTCTAGTCCATTGGATATGACTCGAATTCGATGAATCATGACTGTGCCCTTATTTACCTCTTTCGGGATAATGTTACGACTATCCATAAAAGTGTCAGCATGCTTAATGCTTTAGTAAACAACCCATGCCTATACCTGAATTTTCATGTGATTTGTGTTTTCTCACTAAGTTTTGGAAATTCGTTAACAATGAGTTTATATATATATATATATAATTTGCTATAATAACACTACACATGCAATTTGTCATCTGTCAACATTGACTATCGCAGTGACATGTGCAATTGTCCTGTGTCAGTTAGTTATCTTTGAGCTAGTCTACAACTAGCTGAAATATGAACAGGGATGGTATAAAGTTTCCCTTATTTTGCATAACAAATTTATTTTAAGTTTGATACCTTCTCAACTTTCTCTCACATTTTGTCTCCAGGATGTAAATTTAAAGTTAAGTGAGCATTTAAACTGGTAAATCTCTGAGTTTATTCGGAGCATGTTTTTGCTAGCCAGAACACGTTTCGTTGCTATTTCGCTGTTACGCTAGTAAGCCTCTTGGCCATTCAGGATTATCATCACGCCTGTTAGGTTTTTGTGAGTCAACCTGTTAGCGTAATTTAACGTGCTAATCCATCACTACTCTAATTTTAGATTTTGACTTGAGTTATTCTATGTTTCAGTCTCACCGCAAGTTGACAGTGCCATTGTAAAGCAGGAAGATCGTACCATTCTGTTAATTATTTGAATTAATCAAAGGGTTATCTTCACCTTTCTTCTGTCCTGGTAATTTTTATTCACGCCTCTGCGAGAATTCGCCAGGTTCATTGTAGGATCTAATTTAGTTTATGTGGAAAAGCAGAGACAGATCTTACAATGGTACATGAAAGAATTCCCTTTGCGATGGAGCGCAGACCAAAATCATATGTAATGAATATTTTCTCATATGTAATTATCTTTCATCTAAATGCTCTGTTTAAAAATACATTGAAGACAAGATCTTAAAAATTCATTACAGATCTAATGTATTTGATCGGAAAATAGCGTATGTTTAAGAGAATACATCTAATTATCGCCGTAATTATGTATTACAATTTTAAATGTTTTCTTCTTTGTCTCAATTATTTTGTATAATTTTATTTATAGTTAAAACATTTTATAGTATTATATTTCCATTCTCCATTATGTTACACTGTCAAGCCATTTATCATTCATATGACCAGATAAGTTTAGCCATTCCTTGAGGCAGATGATTTTTCGTTATCATGCATGTAGCCTGTCAGATCGTCATATGATGCATATTTAACGTTCCATAATTTCTTTAATTTGTCTTTTAAATTAAGCAGACATTGCTTATCTAATTGAGCTATTTAACAATCATAATAATAGTATAATTATATTTTATGAAATAGAATGAATTTAATTAACGTAATTTACTTTTTAAAATATTTTCACTATTATTGTTAGTGATAAAAGATCCTTCTGATGTCGTATGTGTTAGATGCCTAGGTGCAGAGCAGTAATTCGCAGTTTGCCCCCCCCCAATGTATAAGTTTTGTGATTACTTTTATTTCTATTCAGTGCTAATGCACTTGATTTCCATTCTGTGATTTTAAAAGCATGTACTGAAATAGTTTACTATTTTGGGCAGATAGGAATAAATTTTTGGTAGTGGTGGCTATTAGTGTGAATTAAAATGTAGAACTACACAAACTTCCGAATGTTTATAAAAGATTATATTTTACTTCAACATATTTCCATTTTACGTAAGTTCCTTTTCTAAAGATCTTAATTTGGCATTACAATTGCCATAATGATTTTAGTTATTGTCCTATCAGATTAAAAAAATGCGCATTATTATTTTCAAAATCGATTGAATTTGATAGATTTACAGACATTAAGAAACTGAAATATAATTCAATGTTTTAAAATGTAGCAGATCTAAATTTTCGTAATAAATAGTACTAGTCTAGCAGATCTGAAATCTCGTAATAAACACTGTTTGGATGTACGACTTGAAAAGTAACTATGTAAAACTTGACCGGATTATGTAGCACATCTTACAAGTATCCATTCTCAGTTTGGAAAGAGCAAGATTTGTTATTTTCTTTTAACTTGTTTGTTAAACCCAGCCTGGTTTTAACATGCTTCAGTTTTTAAATTTGATGTGAAATTGAAAATAGCAAGTTACACCATAGAAATATTCTGAAAAACTCGAAGTTTAATAAAATTTAAATAATACAGTTAATCTCTGTTTCATTTTGAGTATATTGTGCTGTTTGTTAAAGTAATCCATTCAGATTTTCACTAAAAACAGGCTGATAATGCTCATTTGGATCTGAAGTTATTCCTGGAACAAACATAAAATCCGCATCTTCCGCTACTGTCTCTACCAAATACCGCAGCCTTTCTTAGTCTTTCTTTGAATTCTGCCTTTATGTGTCTGTTATTCAAAATCGTGTAAATTATCCTGAAATAAGAAGGGAAAAAAATTTACTCTGATATTAGTATAATGAGGACTGCAATTTCTTATAGAAGAATTTGACAAATATAATATGGATCTACTTGCCATTCAGGAAATGTGATGGCTTCGGTAAGGTACCATTGAGAAAAGAAACCACACGCTTTACTATAGGTGTGATGTGAAAAAACATGTTTTTGATATTGGTTTCTTATTGAAAAAAAGTTTAAAACACTTAGTGATTGATTTTGTTCCTAAATCACCCGACTTAGCAAAATTCGGCTAAGGGGAAAGTTTTTTTAATTATAGTATTATCAATGCACATGCACTTACAGAGGACAAGGAAGAGGAAGAGAAGGAAATTTTTTATGAGGAACTTTCTATGTTATACAGATCTTGTCCCAAGCATGACATTAAAATTGTTATGGGAGATATGAATGCTAAATTGGGTAAAGAGGATGAATTTAAACCAACAATTGGAAGGCATGGCTTGCATGATAGTATTAATGACAATGGACAACGACTAGTACTTTTTGCTGCTGAACACAGCATGATAATTTCAAGCACTGTGTTCAGCCACAAGAGAATACATAAGATGACTTGGTGCTCACCTGGTGGAGAAACCTGGAATCAAATTGTTCATGTACTCATCGAATCTAGGCATTCTAGGGATATCCAGGATGTTAGAACTTATCGAGGCTCCACCTGTGATTCCGACCACTTTTTGGTTATTGCTAAACTAATTGCTAAAATTTCAAACGCCCGAAAGATACAGGGAGAGAGGCAAAAATGCCTGACTGTAAAAAGTTGAAAAATGAGGCAATTGAACGAATTTTCCAGTTCTCACTCACGGGAGAACTAAGATCTAAAAACATGACTGAACTGGAAACCCTGGAAAACAAGTGGAGTTTGTTCAAAGACTCGATCATACGCTTAGCTGACAACACACTGGGATATATGGAAAAACCCAAACCAAGGGATTGGTTTGATAATGAATGCTACCTTATAACACAGGCAAAAAGAGCCGCTTGTAAAAATATGGTCCAAAAGCGACATTCAAGACTCTCTGTTGAGGAATATAAGAGATCTAGAAAACAGGAGAAGATCCATCGGCTTAAGAAAAGACTTTTGCACGACGACCTATTTAAAGATGTTGAACATCTGAGCTGGTCCAATGAAAGCCGTGCTTTCTATCGTGAAATTAATCTTGGCCGCAAAGATTTTAAGCCTAGAACTACTGCCTGTAGAGACAAAAACAACATCATCCTAAATGATAGAAAAGAGGTACTTCACAGGTGGAATGAGCACTTTAGTAACTTGTTGAATGACCATACGCGGGATGGGTCTTCAACCTACCCAACTACCTCTGTAAACACCGATAGTATCCCGCCACCATTCTTTGGCAGAAGTTAGAGGAGGAATTAAAAAGCTCAAACATAACAAGGCTCCAGGCCCTGACTTGATTACTTAAGAACTTGTCAAAAGTGCTGCAGGTCAAAACATTGAGGAAATACACCACCTCATTGAATCTGTTTGGAACCAAGAAGTTTTACCCGAAGATTGGAAACTTAGCATCATCTGTCCTATACACAAAAAAGAGACATTTTGGGTAATCAGTCTTTGTGTTTTCTACAAACTATTTTCCGGTATACTTTTTATAAAGTATTGTAGAACAGAAAGTGTTGTAGGTGATTGCCAATGTGGTTTCCTCAAAAGGAAGATCTACAGCAGAACAAATATTTAACATTAGGCAAATTTTGGAAAAAACTAATGAATATGGCATTGCGATGCACCACCTTTTTGTTTTTTAAGACTGCCTACGATTCAGTAAACAAAATATTTAATTGAAGCTATGAGAAATTTGCAATACCTGAAAAGTAAATTTGGTCACCATTACTCTTGAGAACAAAACTTAGGGTTTAAATCAGAATATCTTCTGAGCCTGTTGTTGTTTCAAATGGCTCAGACAGGGTTGCACTGGCCTGCTTGCTTTTTAAAAACCTTGCCCTCCAAAAAATCATAAGAGATTCCAAAATTAATACTCGTGGAACTATCTTTAACAAGTCTTTTCTGATTTTTGCGTTTGCTAACGATATTGACATAGTCGCACGCACTCCCGAGTCACTTAGAGAGGCTTTTACATCTCTAGAGACTGCAGCCAGCAAAATGCATCTAGCAGTCAACCAAAATAAAACTAAATACATGCCATGCGGTAATAACAGCAGCCCCTATTTTGAAATTGGGAATTACAAATTTGAAACTGTTAGCAAATTTAATTATTTAGGATCAGAAGTTAATACTCTCAATGATTTAATGCCTGAGATCCGTAGTAGAGTCACAGATGCTAACCGATGTTTTTTCGGTCTCAAAAAATACTTGAAGTCTAACTTCACTAGCAGAAAAACGAAGATTTTAATTTACAAAAACTTAATCAGACCCATTTTTACATACTCTGCTGATACCTGGGTAATAACATAAAAAGCTAAAAGTATCATTTCTGTCTTTGAAAGAAAAATTTTGAGTATTTTTGGTGGCATAAAATGTAGCAATATCTGGAGAAGAACTAACTCTGAACTCTATAAATCGTTTAAAGAAATAGATATATAAGGATTCAGAGAATTAAATGGGCAGGACACCTGTGCAGAATGGATGAAAATCGAGTAACTAAAAAGATCTTCTCGGCCAGACCTTTCGGCACCCGAAAAAGAGGGAGACCTAAACTTAGGTGGCTCGACTGTTTGGAAACAGACTTAAGAATTTTAAAAATAACCAATTGGATGTCCATGGCCACGGATAGAAGAGCTTGGAATTCGATTCTGAGTAAAGCATTGAATTAAGTATCCTGGTCTATCTAGCCATTGAAGAAGAAGAAGAATTAATATAATAAAATATGTTGCATATTGAATTTAATACATATATTTTCAGCTCACTGTAGGTTGTAAAATCGCTAAGGAATGTAATCAGGGAAACAATGGGAATGTACAAAATATTCGAAATAGGTGGTTAATTTATTTTTTAAATATTCAACTTGTACAGTTGTGCCTTTGAAGGGGAAAGGTGCAGCGTAGCGCTGAATATTCAAGATTGTTTAAAAAAGTCCTTTGTGAAACGTTCTATTGTGATTTGATTTTTGGAGAAGAGTGCCTAATACAATAAGGGCGACCCTGAGTTTAGACAAGTATTTTCAGCTATGAAGATTCTCAAAATAAGACAGCAAATTTTATAAAAGCAGTTTTAAAAATATTGATTGGAAGAGTTTTTTTTAGGCTGTAAATATAAATCTTCCTGTCTTCTATTCAGATCATATAACTTTTTTATATGATCTTCGTAAATTCATGTTTGAAAAATAAAAAATACTCGTTACTCACTCACTATAAGATTTAATTCAAAAGAAATATATATATATATATATATATATATATATATATACCTTTGCATCCAAAATTCGTATAAATATGAGTAATAAAAATTTACTTAGGGCTATTTCCAAATTTAACCTTTTCGAAAGGGAGTCGACCCCAAGACAGCGTTTCAAGCAAGTGGCTAGAAGTTAATCCAGGTGATTGCTTTTGTTGCACGAAAGTTTCCTTCCCTTGATAGAATAGGTATAGAAGAATAACCCAGAAAGCAGATAGAATTTTATCAGAAAGTTAAAAAAAAAATCGGGCACTATCTAATTCTTACAGCAGTTTGGCAAGGGCTTCAAGAATGCAGTCTTCTTTATATCAGAACATATTTTTGAACATTGGCCGACTTGTATAAACTTGCCAGCAATTTTATAACGGGGCACCGTGGTGAAGCTATCCCTGGCAGTAGGTAGTGAGTGTCTTACGTAAATTCATTCTTATAATGACCGACTTGCATAAATTGTCAGCATTGTGAAGTCTGTCTGTAGCAACATGTATTCGGCTGCATAAGTTCGTTACATATAATGTGGCAAGAAGAAAGAGACAGCAAGCAAACAATTCAATATGCCTTAGATATAGCTATATCAACGAAAGATCAAGAGAAAGGGTAAAATAAGTATAGACAGAAAGTCAGACAGCTGGAGACGCCTTTATAAAAAATGCCTGCACTTTTATGCATGTTGGTCCAGTTCTCTAGGCTAGAAACCTTCACCACAAGTGTTCCCCAGCATAAATGTGACAGCACCTATATGAAATCAATTCCTGATTTAAAAAAAAAAGTAACCACTCATAAAGGTGCTGGCATTGCTCTCCAAAAATACATCACGTAAGTATCATGTAAGTAGGATTTTCGTTTGCTTTACTAATCACAGCAGTAATACAATCGAATCTTCTGTCAGCGGACACTCGTGGGAGACTGTCCCAAGGGTTCAGGAATTGTCCACACTAATGATGTATGTCCACTACAGTAAAATATTTATTAACCGACGTTCAACTGTATTTGCTATTTGTTCTAAGTGTTTTTCTATTAAAAAAGCAAACTAATCTATTCTATATAATTCTAGATAAAACTTAATACCCGTATAATTTTGGTAGGAAAACTCCGGGGAGGAGGGAGGCTACTTACAGTGAAGCCACATCTTTCTCCAGAGATTCCATTCTTGAATTCCGATCCGAAAATTGACATACCAGCCTTTCCAAACAATGATTGTGAGAACTCAGCATTCCACTGCATTGAAGATAAGATGCCATAACTTCATCGTTGTAATCTTCTTTGTGATTCATCTGTTTGAGGTATTTTTGTATTACATCCAAATCCCTGATATCACGTTTGATTGGGTAGTTTGGTGATTTCGAAAATGTATCCCATGTAGAAGAGTTGAAATATGTCATTAAATCCAGTGTATCTAAAACAGCTTCTCTACGACTTCTCCCTTTTACCACACCTTTGCCTCGACCTTTCACCATACCTTCGAAAAAAATATATTTAAATAATTTTAAATTATTTAATCTGTATAATAATTAAATGTTTATAATAAGTTACAGATTTAACTTCTTGCACTCTTAAGACTCAAAATTCTTTAAAACTGTTTTGTAAAGACGGATATTAACAACAGGAAGCTGCATTACTAATCATTCAATAACTTCTTTAAATTCATCGTTACTGTTATTATTTAAAAACAAAAAATGTTCTTGAATTAAAATTATCTACGAATGGCATTATGTTTAAGGATTGATACGTTGTTTTTACTGTGGTTTAAAGAAATTTCAACTGTAAGAAAGGGAGGTGCATAACTATATGTCATAGCAGTCCCATATACAAAATTTCAAAGTTCTACGGCTAATCGTTTTCAAGTTATACGAGATACATGCGGACTTACAGACGGCACGAAAAAAAAATCTATTTTGGAGAAAGGTATCCTTTATTTCATCACGAACGGATGTCACGAAAAAAATAGTTAAAGTGAATTCAGGAACTGTCAAAAGGGATATTTCCGCTGAAATATTTTCCGAGTATCCTATTTCAAAGGATTATAGTACTTCTTTTACTTGGGACAAGGAAGTAAAAATGAAATAAATAAAGATTTCTGAAATAAAAGTTCTGTTTTGATCACGTGACGCTATCAAATCATTATTTATGGTTTTTGCTTTGCGATATTATGCATCCTTGTGGCTTGACAAATTGTCAGTTCGTGGAATTATTGTCAATCCACTCCGCATAATGTCTTTGTCATATCTTTCAGCTACTAGTGATTTAAAATAATATATATATATATATATATAATTCCTATTAGTGTTACTGGTATTCAAACATTTCAACCATAAATATAATTTATAAGATACCATTTCTAAGAACCATTATTATAATTTATGAACCTCTAACCCTCTTTAACCTCTTCCTCTTTTGTGACTGCCCATTTGGCCGTTAGGCAACGCTAAAGTGCGTGCATGATATTGTGCTAATTTTTGTGGCAATGCTTGTTGCATGTCGTTTTTATAATTGTTTCTAGCACCGACTGAGTTCGGTAATAATAATGGTTTTGAACCCTTGTTTTGACCGTAATATAAAATAGCTAATATGTTGTAAATAAACTTTGTAGATAGTTGCTGATTTATTTACATATTGAAGTGATTTTCTTGAACCTTGTTAACGGTAAGAGTTATGAAGTTATGATACTAACCTGCTTTTAAAGTGGAAATGGCGCTTCACTTTCTCTGTCTCTGTTATATATATATATATATATATATATATATATATATATATTACATACGAAATGATTTGGAAATTTTTAAGACTTATGTGAGTCTGTAAAACAGTAGTCGTAAGTGCGGGCCGAGTTAAATATTGATTTTCATTCTCGTTGACAAGCATTTCATTAAGCCAACAGAAATAAAAATTGGCACAATAAACGCGCCTGTAGAACTTGTTACCTTTTTTTATTACTTTTTTTCTTTACTTGTTACCCTGATATGATTGGACTAAGAAGAGAAACAGCGGTATTTTAGGTAAATTAAGAAGCAAGTGCGATGTATTCAAGTGAAAATCTTCGCTCAAAATGAATTGGTATTGAATTTCGATTGAATTTCTGCTTGTTAAATTCGAAGGTCTGAAATTAAGCCGTTATATGAATTACTTTTGTTATGAGAATTATGCAAGAATTATATGACAGCGACTAATTTTGAAATGACGCAGTTGAGAAAGCTTTATTATAAGTAGTTGTAGTGATGATTTTTAGAACAGAAAGTTGGTATTTTTCTTTAATACCCAAATTAAAATGGACTATTGGAAATTAAAGTTGGCATTTTGATTTATATTTTTTGTGTAAAAAAGCAAATTATTAACTTTAATTTGCAGCAGTCTCTTAACATTCCATTATAATTTGGATAGTTCCCCTTTCTGCCCTAGAAACAGTAATTACTTATAATAAACCTCTCTAAACTGCGTCATTTCAAATTTAATAGTCATCATATGACACTTGTATAAAGCTCTGAAGCAGATAACGTATATAATTCTTCATCCAATAATAATTTTAGAGAACTATTAATTAGCAAATCATGATGCTTCGAAATCGAAACTAATTGTAAATCATGACTTTTTTCTTCTGTCCCAGAATTTCATTTTGAGTGCATCACACTTCTGCTTTTAATCTTGCTGACTGCTAATATTTGCTACTTAATACGTATTTAAAATATTTAGCTCTATCGATGTAGTTTTCAAAAATAGGTGCTTATTGCCCTCATTATTTTATTGGCCTATTAAAGTATTTGAGTAAAATAAGATACTTTGATTGAATACCGTGAGATAAAAAGGGGTATTCAAGTAGGTTCGAAGTGTGAGCTTATTTCTCTGTGCATCTACAACGCCTCCAACTTGCCTAAAATATTTCATATACACATATTACTGCATGTACGTATATGCTTTTTCAAATGAAAATTTTTGCAGACCTTGAGATATTTTCTTTCAGAAAACCGCATAACGCAATCTTACAATAAAAATTTTGTAAGTACAAATATTCTTGTATAATCAAAAAGAATATTTTTAACTAGTTTCAAAGAATTTCAAATTTAATGTATGAAAACTGCTTTCATCTCAAGAACTGAACTTTGAGAATAAGAACCCCCCCCCGAAAAAAAAAACGAATAACAAATACCAATACAGCAAATCAATGCAATGTGATGTAATATAACTAATTCCTTATTTATGTTCTTTCTCGAAACAAAATTAAATTATTTTTAATGTAATTAAAAAAAAAAAACCCTCACAAAACCATTAAACCTTATTGAAGAATCCTTTCCCTTAGGTAAGTCTCTCCTTTCTCTATAAGGATCATCATTATCGAAAACGTATACACATTCAGTTAAAAGATAGAAAAAAGTAGTTTTATTTAACAAAGAAAAGTTATTTTTTTTTAATATTAACGGCTTTTAAACTTTATTTTTTTTTTTTTTTGATAATTTAATTACTTAATCAGCTGTGGGCAAAGGTTTACCGAGGGAGGGAGCGGGCTTCTGATCAGCGGAGCTCTACAAAGACCCTCAGGTGTTTAAATATATATATTGGGGCTGGACCGAAGAAACACCTTTTTTTTATTTGTCTATGGCTATACCACGAAAAATAGCTTATTACCTAGTTTTGCAAAATTAAAAAAAAGTTTTCACATAAAAATATATCTTCCATCGCGCATAGCGCTCAAAGTTTTAAAAAATAAAAAAATTTGCTGCCTTTCGTCAATTTTTTATAACTACAGATCACACTACCATCGAAGTGTGAAGTCTGATGCGTAATGTGAAGTTTGTGTCATCAGAAACAGCGAAAAAATTTAAAACCTATAATTTCAAATTATGTATTACTAGCACAAAAAGCTCAAAAAACACAATTTTTTGTAAAAATTAACAATATTTAGTAATTTTTGTGATTACTTTTTCATTCTTAGTAAACGAAAGGTGAATATATTTATCATTTTTAAGTTTGTTTCTCAAAAGCGTGCACCATAAAGTTACCTTTCTGTCATAGTACATCTTGATAGGAGGTCATCGTAATAAAGCAGTCTCTTTCACCAGCACCATACATCGTTTTAGGTGCTTCGTTCACAAGACACACCGTTCTACAACCTAGGCTTCGGATAAGGAAAGCTTTGGAAATCTGTTCGCAAGGATGCATGTTTGCAAGAGGCCACGGCCCATTTCCACTCTACTTCTACAGCAGACACAAAGCCTCCTGTGACAGATGTATTTGCGGAAACAACAGGGACCTAGAGGACTACATTTTCAACTGTCAAATGATGTCTGTTCATCATATCCGTCATCCAAGCTACCTAGGTCTAGAATTCAGGCGATTTCTAATCAAGCACCGAAAAACATTTTCAGATAAAGAACATGATCGACTACCTCCACAGACAAGGACTCAATATGTGCCACTATTAATCTTCAGTCTTCTCATTCTGCAATAATTTCAGAGTGCCATTGTTATCTCCACCAAACACACACTGCTCACGTGCCTTCATTCTTCATTCATATCTGTGCTTTACCTCCATACCGTGTAACAGAGCTGATTCCAATCGAGTGCGATACACTGAACTGACATGAACTATCTGGACGTATGGTTCTATAACCGTATCCGGCCCTTTTATCGGACTTCAACGGTATATGCTGTCCGAAAATACTGAAATATTCGAAATTCCTCGGTGGTCGGGGGAAAACTATATACGACTGGAGAGAGCATCACTTCTCAGTTTCAGTTCACACTAGATTTGGGAGTACAGAGAGATCTCCGTGCGAGCTTCGCTCTTTAGATGCTTTTCTAACTGAGTTGCGTTTAACATTTGAACTGGTAACTACTGTGCTCTGTCGTACTGAGAAGATCTGTACGAGTACTTTTGTGGAAAGTTACCACAAATTTAAAGTAAGGTGTTTATTTTGTGAAAATACTTTTATCAAGCTATCATCGGTTCTGTGTGCATTCAATCCATTATGAACACGTACGTACGCGACACTATTTTTGAACCATCTGTGGAATTTTTGCTGGTTTTGATCTGAAGCCGGAGAGGCATGTAACAATTCAAAATGAATGTACCGTCTAATTTGATCCGTAGCTTTTTCTAAGCTTGCATATAATCTGAGAACTCATTTGCCCTTGTCAACTATCTTGAATGGGAAAGCGAACCAAGATCATGAGCTGCTAAATCTTCTAAAATTGTACCTGACTTTACGATAATAGAGATACCGAAGTAAGTGTAACTGATCCTTGCTCAGCACTAAGGACGGCCAGTCTTACGAAAGGAAGGGGATCGGAGATATACAATGCTGTGTAGAATTTGTAGCAGAAATTAAGGAATATTGCTATTTTTACAAAAAATTGTGCTTTTTTAGTTTTGTGCATGAACAATAAAATTATGTTTTATTTTATTTTACGTGTATGTTCCTCAAGTCGCAAACTTCACGTTAGGACCTAAAGCTTTTCGCTACTTCTAAGTTAAATAGTATAAAAAATTGATAAAATCATCAAAATTACCCCATTTTTTAAAACTTTGATTGCGATGTACAAACGGAAGATGTAATTTTACTTGTTTTTTTTTTTTTTTTTTTTTTTTTTTTTTTTTTTTTTTTTTTTTTTTTTTTTTTTTTTTTTTTCATTTTGCTTAGCATTTGATTTTGCAATAGGCAACTTTTCCGGGATATAGCGATAGAAAAATTTTTTGAAAATGTTTTTTTCAGTCCACTCTCTTGATTATGTACCTACATATAGAGAAAAGGATGAAGGTAAAAAGTGATCTGCATTGAAAATGTTAAGGAAATGGACTTCCAACAATCAGTCTCTAGCTTAAATTTAGCACTAAAGACTTAGAGATGAAATTGTTTAAAAGTTATATTCGATCAACTATGAGACAAGAAGATTATATGGTTTGTCAGACCTTTCCGTTGAAAATGCAGTACGTAAAAATATTAATTCTGATATAGCTATAAAAATATTTTCAAAGCTCGTAAAAAAAAGGAAATCACTCTTTTCAAAATTATCAAAAATGACAGATTACTAAGCTTTTTTTAAATATATGCTTATCTGCTTTTACTTTAGTTTTAAGTTTTTTTTTCCAGATCCTTATAACTATTTGATTTTAATGAAATAAATTTTAATTATACATCCTGTGTTGCCATTTTGTATTGTCTTTCCAATTAGGGGGCCCAGGAAAATTTCAGCGTCGAACCTCGATAGCTATAGACCCGCCACTGGTTATACGTAAGTAAGTATGCAGATGTAAATAAAATACTCTTTGCAATTTTAAAATTAAAAAAGCAGAAGATACTAATAAAAAACAAAAATAAAAAAGATTTCTGAATAAATATCTTTTGAAATAGGAAATTTCATAAGAGTTTGTGTAACATCTTGGAAAAGAAGAAAATTCGTAACTGAGAAAACAAATTTATTAAAACTGAGAATATTTTTTAAAAGTTTTGTTATTAGGCTTTTAAAGGATTTTTTAATTTAACAATTTTATTAAACTGATTTTTATTTTAAAATTTTCTTTTAATTATTATTTTAAGAATTCACAATTATCCATACATGATTCGGAAACGTGGATCTGATGAAATTCTTCCTCTGCTCCTTGAAAAAGGACCAAGAAATTTTCTACAGTAACTTTTTTATATTAACTTGATCATGTTATATTAATTATATTTTATTATTAGTCCAAAGGGGCTTTCTTCCTGAAGGACTATTGTTGGACTGGATAAATGTATGTTTGTTTCCCGCATTGTGATAAAACAACTGTACCTAGAGCTATCCAGTTTTGAATGACGTAATCCTACTGCGAATATGGGCATCTGGAAGCCCAAATTTGAAATTTGGAATTTGTTTTATTATCGATTTCATATCTTGTAAAACTTTAACGAATTTTTGACTTACAAACTCAAGGATTTTAAAGCGAGCCATAGCAACGTTGTACAGAAAAAAAAACATTTTTATCTCCAGCGCGCGAGACTCTGTATCGGAAATTCTAAAGATATGCTCAATTTAAAACTATTTTGCGATATTGCTCTTGAACTGAATTTTATGGTTTAAGTGCGAAGAACGTGATATTTAATAAATAAAGGTAACAGACAAAAATGTTAAAAAAAAAAAAAAAACCCTTTGGACGTAATTTAAAATCTGAAAAATTTCAAAAATTTTTTTTTATTGCTTTGCTTCAGTTATGATTTGTGTACTTTCGATTTAGACGACTGACCGCTTTTTTAATTTCTGATTTAATTATTATCTGTTGAAGCAGTGAAAGAACAGGGAATTTTGATATAATTAAGTCATTAAATAGTTGTCTTTCATTACTTATTTTTTTTATATATATAATCGTAAATATATGTTATTTACTAGAGCTAACTTTCTATTACTATGGTCCACTAGCATTCATCTATAGAAATTGAACCGTAAGAGAACTAAATGAATCTTAAATCCATTCTGCTAAAATCAATTGGAGAAATGTAATGCAAAATAAAACAGTGAAAGAATAGGAAATATTAATCTTATTAACATTAAGTTATTAAAACTTCATTAAAACTCATTAAAGTTATTAAAACTCATTACTTTATGTATGCTAAAAGGTATTATTGATAAAACGATGTGAAAAATGGGGTTACGTAAATTCAGAAGATAAGTTATAGTGAAAATATAGAATATTTACCATCTGTCGTTAATGTCGGTAGAATGGTGGCCAAACTGCTAAGGGCAGCACTTGCAATTATAGGAATAGTTGCTAAAGGAGCTAATAAAGCCAGCATACTTTCTAAACTGAACGTATGTGGTGAAGGTGTCTTAAAACCATAGTGCTGAAACCTATGAAATTCATAGATATCACCATTCTCCTCTGGACGATTTTGTCTTCGAATTGTATGCTCTTGTTCTGGAAATAAAATGTAACTTAGTTATTCGCAAGTGAGTGGATAAACAAATGAAGGAAATGAACAAAAGTGCACTTTGAAGTTAAGCGAAGAAGCAACCTTAGTTATGTGTATTTTTGACTAAAACTCTATCGATTTCGAGGCCACATTTTTTTTTCCTCTTGAAGAAAATGGACCTATATCTAATCGCTCTCGAAATCGGTAGAGTTTTATTAAAAATATACACCAACTCGGTTGCCTTTTCGCCGGATCTTAAATTTTACATTAACTTGCTTCTCTTCTAAACTTATCAATGTATTCGTTCGAAACTATTAGTTCATAATTTTAGCACTATCATGTCTCTGGGAAATAAAATTGCTTCAATTCTATGTACATTTATCAAATCCATTTTTACACATTGTAGTACTTCACCAGATACTATATTATTGATATAATAAATTATCTGATTGCATGTTTATTGATAACATAATTATCAAAAACCTCATTTTATAGGTTCAAAAGTTTTAGTTCTTCCTTATTTATGGTAACAGGAAATGTTTGCAAGGTTACTTTACTGTTGCTTACCACTGAGAGTTGAATAACTTTACCATTTAATTTTGATCTCAGTTTTTATCACTGTTTCGGTTTGAATAGACACTTTTCTCTGTCTCTGAATGGCAACACGAAAATTAGGAAAAGCGCAATGATTTAGAGAACTCTAAGTGGCAACAGTCGGAACTTTAAAACTTGCTTTCGAATTGTTTGATGCAGCTTGAGTGCAGCAGATGAAATGTCAGACTGATTCAAGATTAATTTGTTTTGGTATATTAATAAAAATTCTTTTGAACTAGATTGAATGTTGATTTAGATAGAAGTACCACTGAATCACACATGTAGAAATTTAGAGACGTTTAGATTTATTTTAGAACTTTGTTAGATAGCCGTGCCATTAATGTCTGTTGTCTATCGAACAATCATTGTTTACCACACGTTGCTGTGCAGTTGGCCAGTTTATGTAGGCATGGTGATACATTTTAATTTCCTTGGCATTTCTGACTTTGATTCCAAGCACTGTTTGAAACCACAATGGAAAATGAAGGGCTAGAAAACCTAGTTCAGATGAAATCTAGAATTCTTTGAAGCGAAGTCTGTATATTCAGGTACGTTGTCGTCCAATTCCATGTCAATGCCGTCCTCTACAAGAGCAATTTTATGACCCCTTTAGTACAGTTGGTCGACAATGGAATTTTTACAAATGATGTTTTCAACCGTACGTGGCCGATTGAGGGAGAAGAGTGAGAAAAGAATAGTACATCTTCATTCTTAACTAATCTTGTAAAATAATATTATAGTCAAAAATTCTATCTTTTCCACCACCTCTTCTTAATTTCTTAATCACATGCTAATTTCTACCGTCCTCCTCATTTTTACACTTTTATGTAACTCGTTATTCTGTAGCTCTAATGTAAAGGTTTCTATAATAGTTCATAATTCCTCAAAACTTGTAAATCCTTGTGACTAAATATCATACATAAAATATGATACCTTTTTATTCTGTGAAGAAGTTCGTCATTTTTTAATGCATTTCAGGGATGGGCAAACTACGGCCCGCAGGCCAGCTAGGCCTGCCGCAAGTTAAAAAAAGTATTATTTTTATATAATATATTTAGGATATTATTATACAACACATAATATGATATATTAAATATTACCATATTACTATACAGTATATTATATATTTTGTATAGATTTCGTGCCAAAACAGAAAAGACTGTAACGTGATGAGCGCAAAAACGAGTTTATGTACACTGCTGGCCATTCAAATTGCAGTATCAGGAAGGAATGATCTGACGAACGTCAAAATCACATGAAAGGAAGAAGAGGTTGGGATATGCAAATGATTAGTATTTCAGCGCATTTGGACGAACGCAGGAGGGAAAAACGACATCTGAAGCACTGCATAAAAGAGAAGTTGTGCAACTGATTTCTGATTCGGAAGGCAATTTTGTAAGGTTGTAGTTTGCTCAGTACATCATCTTATGCCTGGAATAATAATTAACGCTTACCAGCAAGTGTCGGAATTCAATAAAGGCACGATCGTTGCCTATCGAGAGTGTGGATTACCATTCCGTGATATCACCCGTCGCTCTGGTCAACATCCGACCACTGTCATGTGAATATGGAATCAATGGGCTGCTGAGGGTCATACTGAACGGAATGCAGGATTTTAACACTCTTCCATGAATAACGCCCGAGAGGAGAGACATACTGTTAGGTCAGTTCTGCAAAACCGTACAACCATGTACATCATGTAACATTAGTCACGTACCACATCACGCACCATTAGTCACATTGAATTGACTGCGCGTGCTTGCACCATTACTGTGTGCATTTCGGTCAGCTGCATTATTTTGCTTATTTTTGTAGTGATTTGTTTGTAAAAGTGCAAAAGTGTGATTGATTTTTGTTTTTTCTTCGTTTGTATACTTATTTCAGTGATCGGTTTGATTTTGCTTGGCCAGCCGACAGCCTGGCCAAACAGGTGGTCTCAAATGTCAATGCAATGGATATTGAAGTAACAGGTTCGAAGATAATTGCTATACGAAGAATGAAAAAGTTTTACGTTAACAAATGGAAAATACAGTGGTTCTCTTCACCTAAAAACAAAGGAATTGTGAAACTTATTAAAATCACAAATAAAATGAAATGTATGAACAATATTGATGTTGATCCGGTTTTAACTGGAGATAGTAGGTTTCTATTCTATTTCAACCGATTTAATCTGCAGGAAAATAAAGTATTATAGTTTCAGGATGGGCTGATAGGCATTCGTGGTTGATTGAGTTTAACGCCCCTATTAGACAGATTTTAACATTTCGTTTTAAGAAGGTCATTAATTTTAAGTTTTAAATGCTATTCTATTGCTCTATGAAGTTACAATGAAACGACGCTGTAGATTTCTGTTAAAATGCATTAGTTTATAGGGTTTAGATATCTATGGTAATCATGTTGTGAATTTGGGTTCTGGATTTTGTTTGTTTGTTGTTGGTCTGTAATTGGAATACTTATTTTTGATTTAATTTTTTTTTTTTTTCTTTTTGGGGGTGCTGTGTTACTGGATGCCCTCGTTTGTGGAATACGGGGTTCCTTCTTTGAGCTATGGGACACTCGTGTCCAGGTGGGCTGAAGGAGCCTCAATTTTACATTCTTACCATAGTACCTGCCAAACGCCATCTTTCAACAGATAATTATGTCACATGTTGAATTCGTGTTCGACATCCGATAACAGTGACTCGATGCTGCCTGGAGCACGTTCTCAGATCGGTCGCCCATTGAAACATTGTATAGTTGCTGAGAGAGTGGCCGCTTTCTCTCACAATACGGTGATGAGGTGACAAGATTGAAGCAGCAGGAATGGAGTGCCCGCTTTGTAATCGAAGCCCAATTCGACTCTAGCCAACGGGTAAGGTTATTTAGTGCCAGAGGTGACAGTGTTCTGCTAATTTCGACCCCTGTTAATCCTAAATGCTTACAAATTTAATATTAATCTAATGCCAATCTTTACGTAAAATAAATATCTTTTTTGTATTTCCTTTGTTTCATGGTGTTACAATTAATGGCCAGCAGTGCAGAAGAGGTCTGTTATATCGTTTCATTGACATTAACAATGCATATTTTAAGCTTCGCCCAGTGCCTTTCTGTTGTGGCACGAGCATAATGTTTCCGCGAAATGTTTCCGCGAAATGTTTCCGTAATTCAGGACAAAAAAAGTTGCAAAGCACTGCTTTAAATGATCTTTTATGTAATTCCTATAAAGTTGTAATGAATTTCAAAAAATCAAAATCTTGCATCGTGTGCCACATTCATCCATTTTACTTGATAGGTTTGGATAAGCCATGCCCATTTCTACTCACAGTCAGTATTTCCATGAAAATCTAGCTGAAATTTTCTAGATTATATCAAGTATGTCAGAAATTGGTGTCCGATTCAGAGTTCAATTCAGTATACAATAACTTTCTTCGTGAAGGGTAACATTTCACATCCTGTGTTAATTTATTGTTAGTGAGTATTTGGAACTTTTTTTATTATATCGATGATTTCGGAACACCTACTTTCACATCAAGTTTTAGGAGGGATATCATTTGTTTTATTTCCTTTTCAGAAGATTACTTCCCATATTTTCGAGATTAACTGAACTATTTAATACTGCTTCCTGTAAAAGAATTTTGATACATAATGTCATTTTTGGTTGAATCAAATCGAATTTTGATTTTGACTTAATTCAATATTCTTCAAACATGCGAAGCGAAATTTGAACAATTGGCTTTCAGTTTGTTACAGAAATGTCAAAATCCGAAATTCATCAAACCTGGATATTCCCCAATCTGTACAGGAACCCTCTGCCTTCGCAGATTCCTGTCTTCCAGCTCGTTTATTCTTTGAGCTCCAATGAAGAAGAACTGAATGTAGACGACTAGCAAAAGGAAATTCCGTGAGTTGAGTGGTGAACTCTGAATCATTTCAGAGCAGACCTGGAATGAATAAATAGTTATAATTTAGTTCATATTACATCGTAATTAAGAATACTTAATTCCAAATCCTTATTAGGATGAAATGAAATAAATTTTGTTGAGTAAATAAATTAAGTCGTACTTACAACAATGGTCAGTATAGTGAAAAAAAGTCTGCTTTGAAGCAACTTAAAAAAAAAAAAAAAAAAAAAAAAAAAATACGGTTCCGTGGTACGGGTCGTATAGATGATGCAGAAGTCCGCTAAAAAAAGATAATCAAACTATTTTACACAGCAAAAGCAGAACGCTGATTTTCTCAAAGATATTCGTACATATCACAGTATCACGCATATAATCAGTAGCTATATTTAAATATAAATCTTAATAGAGCGTAAGTAAAGAGCAGAGAAAGCTAATCGATCTAACCACTAATTCACTACAATCAAAAAAAACAGTTATCAGACACTACGAGTGATATGTCTCTCTCTGGCTTTTATAGCTTTTAAATCGGCCCGCAAGAGGAGAGTTTAGAATTTCTGGAAGAAAACATAGAATAGGTTAGAGTTAACATTGTAGTCAATTACATTTATTCAAATTAAATATCAATTACGGAGATAAACTTTAATTAAATGTTAAATGCATGTGCTTTTATATATTTACTTTTCCGGCGTAGCTTTCTCTTAAAATAATTCTCGTGCTGCATTGCACGGGAATATAAAACAATTTCAATTATAATTCTAGTAAAAATAGCTAACTAAATACAAAATCCGTAACACTATCCCCTTTCTAAAAACTGGCCGTCCCGGGTAGTACAATCCCTGGACAGAAAGCCAAACTTACAACTAAGGCATCAATGCAATAATAAACATCACATTACAATAACAAACAACATGAACATGAACAATAATTGTAATAAGTAACTTAAAACAAATCAAATACTAAATACAAATCAAATCAAATACAAACTTAGAAACAAAAAGGATGATGGTCTTATACTATTTACAATTATATACACTACGTACTATGGCCATAGTAAGAAGCTAACCTGTCGTAATGAACTTTAGGCTTAGAGTCCGATGACTTACGGATCCGAACCACGACGTCGTTTAGCCTGTTTAGAACTGTATAGGACCAAGGTGACTGTATTATAGGACAAAGTCACAAGGCAGGGAAAGGTCACGACCGAAGAGCATCTGAGATGGGAAATAGCCGGTAGTCGGCGTCCAAATGAGTTTATCCTTAAACTGTTGAGCTAAATCTTTCCGAATGATGGTAACATTAGCTTCTGTGTCAATGATGATATTGTAAGGAACTCCATTGATATGCCCATTGATGGATAGTCCATGTTGCTGGGAACTGGTATTATTTTCCACACACTGGGATGTTCTGCAACTCCTTCGTATGTGCCCTTCCTCACCGTCGTCCCAAAACTTTACGGTCGGTTTCTTGTCACTAATATTCCGTCTGAACGCACTGAGTTGTCTGGTTAAATAGTTTGTCTTATTTTTCGTGCCCAGGGGGTATTCTGCAGTTCTTTCGTAAGTGGCCTTCAACACCACATTTTCAACAGAGTCAGTTTCTTCTCAATCCTACTCCATATCAAAGCTCTGACGTGTCTGGATAAATCATCTAAACGAGCTATCAATTGATCCATTGGCTCGTGGACTCGCACAGCTATGACCGGGTGGCGATCTCTACGAGTTGCTTGCTGGGCTGCCTCGAATTTCATGGCGTACGTCAGAGAACATTTTAAGGCTTTTACACCCGCCGTTCGCGGAGCTTTCTGTATTTCAAGATCTCGGATGCCGTCGATGAAATATTGCAGGGACAGGATTTCTCTTGTTTCTGTCGCGCACTTCGAAAAGGCGAAATGGGACAACCTTTCAACATATGTAGCAAGCTCCTGGAGTGTTTCGGTGGGCTTCTGCTGACGGGATTTTAATTGAAGTCTGCTGTAGTCTTTCAAACATTGCTCCCCGAAATGCAGCTCCAATGCGCCGGACAGAGCTTTGAAATCTAGCCTTTGGTTTTCCGGAAGAGTCTGAAGGATATCCGCTGCGTGTGCTCTCAGAGAAGAGGCGAGATGACAGGCCTTAGCTTGGGGATGTTGTAAATCAATCAGGCATTTGAGAAGAAATAAATAAATGTTTTTCTAACTCACTTCTGGTAACCAAAGAAATGCCAAGACGCATGCGACAACCACGCCAACCATGCTAATCACGTGATATTATTATATCCCCTTGTTCGGTGTCTGAAAGAGTATTGCTTGGCAGCATTGTTTTACGCCAAGCAGAGTTTGGCTTTAGTGTAACCCTAAAGTTATTTCGTTTTTGCTTTATTAGTATGAATGATTTCTGACTTGATGTAAGGGCATATGGTTGTTCGCTCTTAGCTAAGTTACATAGGTAACTATAAGCACATGCGTGTGCTAGTATTCAATAATGTTGTTTTTGTTAAAATAAAATTGTTATTGTTAATATTACAGTCCACTTACTGAACTTAAATTATCATTAAATAAGTTCGAGCTATATTCGGCAAGAACAGTTTGGTCTCACGTTAAAGCCGGAGAAGAATATGGCCTACTAATATTGTTTCATTGAATCGCCAACGCGGCGTAGTGAAAACGATAAAACTCAGAGCTTTGATAAAATTCCTTGATGAGTATAAAATGTGAGGAGAATAAACTCAACCATGATGTTATTATGAAGACTTAATTGGATTCTTTGTTGGAATTAAAATCTCGGGTTAAACAACTCATAGTGGAATACACCAATTTGCCAGAGGAAATTGACTTGAAGGATAATCTAAGCATTACACAAGAATTGGAAAGAAAGCATCGAAGAGTTCGAAGTAAGATTTTAGAATTTTTCTTTCTAATTGTGAAACAAATAATACAGATAAATTTGAAACCAAAAACTGTTTCTAAATCAAATTTTAAACTGCCTGATTTACCTCTTCCTCAATTTTATGGTAAATATGAAGATTTTAAAAAATTTAAAGTGCAATTTATGTCTATGATTGGTAATAATAATAATTTAAATGATACTGAGAAACTGTTTTATTTAAAAGCATCACTTAAAGGTGAAGCAAAATGTTAGAATCATGTCAGGATACATTTGAGTCGCTATTTTCTGCACTTGAAAGCAGATATGAAAACAAAAGAGCCAGTAGTTGATGCCTTTATCAATAATTTGTTGAAATTTGAAAAAAAAACCTTCTCAGTTGAGATCACTAGTAAGATAATGTTAAAAGATGTTTGAGATCTTTAAAGTGTATTAGAATTTGATAGAAATAATTTATCTGATGTTTTGATATTAAATATTTTATTGCATAAATTAGATAGAGAATCTAGAAAAGCATTTGAACTAAACGTAAAATCAAATGAAATTCCCAAACTTGATGAATTTTTAGAATTTCTCGAAGAAAGAATTCGCATTCTTGAAGAAATAAACAAAGTTCGTTTTCCTAAGCAGAGCTATGGTACTAAAGTATCAAATCAATTAAGTCGCTCTAGAAATTCAAAATCCTTGGTAACTAAAACAAACCCTTTTCGAAAGTGTATTATGTGTAAAGAACCACACCCAATTTATCATTGTTCGAAATTTAAGAGTATTTCTGTTTCTGAGCGGTATGATTTTGTTAAAGAATATAAATTATGCATTAAATGCCTTTCTCCATCAAACGTATTATCGCAGTGTAAAGGCTAAATTCAGTTGTTATGTCTGTAAGAAAGACACACATCATTCGCTGTTACATAAAATTGACGAAAAACAAAATGAATTGACCTTGAACCTTTCGTCAGTGAATGGGAAAGAGGACTGCCCCTCTCCCCCCCCCCACAACTTTGATGGCAGCTGCAAATAAATCTAAATGTGTGTTAATAAATACAGGGATTGTTTATCTTCGCGATGTTTACGATGAACGAATTCCTTTTAGAGCCGTGCTTGATTCAGCTTCGACTTCTAATTTTTGTACTGTAGGTGTTATGAACTCATTAGGAATAAAAAAAGAACGAGCATTTATTCCAGTTAGTGGAATAGGCAACACTACTTTGAATATTAAATCGCAAATAAAGACGCGTTTATCGAACACGGGCGGCTAAAACCCGCCGGGAACTGGAGAAATTCAACCAATCAGAGACAACCGTTGCGCCAGGAACTTTTGGCGTCATTTTCCGATCGCCAAACGCAATTTTTGTGCAAAACTGGTATACAAGAAAGCAGTTGTTAATGTTATGGTAATTGTTCGTATTTCTTGGGTAGAAGTAGTTCATTTGTTTTGGTTATTTTGTGTTGCCCTGATATGATTTAATATTTAATTTACTGTAGAGCGATAAGTGAAGTATGTAAATCTCAATTTCGAAAACAAATACAACTTTATATTCCACTCAATTGGCTAACTCGATACCCAATAACTTTTCTTTACTTTTAAAATAAGGGTGAAAATATAATTGATAAAAATTACTTACTGTGAAATTTCTGGCTCTTTGTGTATTTGAAAAATGCTTGTTGATATCTAGGTTCATATATTCACGTACTCTAAACATCGTGAAATTCAATAAAGAAAAATATTTTAGAATGTGTCTTTTTTTTTTTTTCTTTTAAACTACTTTTAAACTTTTAGAAATTTCTCTTGTATATTTTTCCGTAGGCAAAAAAATCACATTAAACAAAAGCTCCTACTGAAATAAGAAAAATACAATGATTTTCAGAGAATCTGTATATTAAAATGCTGATGTGGGATAACTCATAAAATAAACCCAGGTAACCCAGTAACTCCCAAAAGAAAAAAAATAATTGAAAAAATTAACATGAAACTGTTTCTGCATTATTCTCCATCGAAATAATTCTGTTTCATTTCATTGTGTTATGTAAAAAATAAGAGTAATTTTTAAAGTCTTGGAACATTAGCACAATCAAGTAATTTTTATTCATGATGAATCTGTGGGGTATTTTACACTTTATATTACACCATATGTGTTACTATGTACATTATTTTCTTGTTCATTGCCAAGACTTTTC